CAATAAAGTTTTATCAGAATACTATGATGCCCATTTTTTAACATATTGTTTATATCTGCTTTTGCAACAACAGTGTTGAATAGTTGTAACGGAGATTCTATGGCCTGCAAGCCTAAAATATTTTCTATGCAGCTCTTTAAAGAAAAAATGCCAATCCCTGCCCTAGATTACAATAGAATATAACTCTAGTTTTATATCTAGAAGCAATGAGAGATGGTGGAGGTGCATTTGAGGAGAATCAGGATCCGCTTTAAGGGGAAAAATTGTGGGGTCTTCAGGCCTGGGAGGAAGGAAGTGCTAATTTCACTGGAACAGAAGAATGCAGATGTTCAGGCTTCTCAGTTCATTGGAATGCACACGTAAATATAATCATTTCAGTATTCAGGATCTCACTCCTTTTCAATTAACATCCAAAGTTTCACATAAGAGACTTGACAAGGAAGTGACTGCTGTTTATATTGTAATTCTGCAATCTTCAGTATAATAATTTAAATGTTTTGGGTTTTTTGTTTGTTTGTTTTTTTGGACATATCAACCCCTGAAACTACAAAAGATAAGAGACTTTTTCAAGGGATTCCTAGAAGTTCTATGGTTCTCTCTTGGTACTTTGACCCAAGATTTTAAAGCCCTAATCTTGTCATTTTACTTCTTTTTAAAAAAATTATTGTTTATTTAGGTAACATTGGCTTATAACATTATATGTTTCATGTGTACAACATTATATTTCTACTTCTGTGTACCCTACAGCGTGCTCACCACCCAAAATTTAGTTTTCATTCATCACCATACATTTGATCCCCTTTGCCCATTTTGCCCCGTCCTCTCTGGTGACCACTACTCTGTTGTCTGTATCTATGTATTTGCTTTTGCTTGGTTTAGTTTGTTAATTTATTTTGGTTTTTTTTCTTTGTTTGTTTTTTAGATTCTACATATAAAAGAAATCATGCAGTATTTGTCTTTCTCTGTCTGACTTATTTCTCTTAGCATAATACCTTGAGGTTCATTTTTGTTGTCCAAATGGTAAGATTTCATCTTTTTTTATGGCTGAGTAGTATTCCATTGTACATATATACCACATCTTTTTTTATCTATTCATCCACTGATGGGCCCTTAGGTTTTTTCCATATTTTGGCTCTTGTTAATAATGCTGTGCTGAACATAGGGGTGCATATATCTTTTCTAATTAGTGTTTTCATATTTTTTGGATAAATACCCATAAATGGGATAGCTGGATCATACAGTAGTTAGTTCCATTTTTAATTTTTTGAGGAACCTCCATACTGTTCTCCATAGTGGCTGTACCAATTTACATTCCCACCAACAGTGTAGTTGGGTTCCCTTTTCTCCACATCCTTGTCGCCATTTGTTATTTCTTACCTTTTTGATAATAGCCATTCTAACATGTGGAGGTTATATCTCATTGTGGTTTTAATTTGCATGTCCCTCATAATTAGTGATGTTGAACACCTTTTCATGTGCCTGTTGACCATCTGTATGTCTTCTTTGGGAAAATGTCTCTTCAACTCCTCTGCCCGTTTTAAAATCAGGTTTTTTTTTTACGTTGTTGAGTTGTATAAGTTCTTTACATATTTTGGATATTAACCCCTTATTGGATATATCATTTGCAAATATTTCTCCTATTCAGTAGGTTGTCTTTTCATTTTGTTAATGGTTTTCTTTGCTGTACAGGAGAGTTTTAGTTTGATGTAATCCCATTTAGTTTAATGTTTATTTTTGGGTTTGTTTCTCTTGCCTGAGGAGACATATCAAAAAAAAAATGTTTCTAAGACTGATGTCAAGAGCATACTGCCTATGTTTTCTCTAGAAGTTTTATGGTTTCAGGTCTTACATTTATGTCCTTAATCCATTTAAAATTTATTTTTGTATCTGGTGTGTGAAAGTAGTCCAGTTAGATTTTTTTTGCATGTGGCTGTTCAGTTTTCCCAATACTATTTATTGAAGAGGCTGTCATTTCCCCATTGTATGATGCCTCCTTTGTCATAGATTAATTGCTCATGTAAGTGTGGGTTCAATTCTGGCTCTCTTACTCTGTTCCATTGATTTATGTGTCCGTTTTTGTGCCAGTACCATATTGTTTTGATTACTCTGGCTTTTTAATATAGTTTGACATCAGGGAGCATGATACTTTGCAGCTTTTTTCTTCCTTCTCAAGATTATTTGGGGTCTTTTGTGTTTCCATACAAATTTTAGAATTATTTGTTCTAGTTCTGTGAAAAATGCCATTGGTATTTTGATAGGGATTACACTGAATCTGTACATTGCCTTGGGGAATATGATCATTTTACTGACATTAATTCTTCCAGTCCATGAGCACGGTATATCTTTCCATCTATTTGTGTCATCTACAGTTTCTTTCATGAATGTCTTATAGTTTTCCAAGTATAGGTCTTTTACCACCTTGGTTAGATTTATTCCTAGGTACTCTATCCTTTTTGATGCAATGTAAATGAGATTTAAAAAAAAAATCTCTTCCTTATAGTTTGTTGTTAGTGTATAGAAATGCAACAGATTTCTGTATGTTAATTTTGTATCCTGCAACTTTCCTGAGTTTATTTATTATTTTTAATAGATTTTTTGAGGCATCTTTAGGATTTTCATGTATAGTATCCTGTCATCTGCAAACAGTGATGGTTTTACTTCTTCCTTTCTAATTTGATGTCTCTAATTTTGTCTCCTTTTCTGGTTGAAAGTCTAGGACTTCCAATACCATGTTGGAACAAAAGTGGTGAGAGTGGGCATCCTTGTCTTCTTCCTGATCTTAGCTTTTAGCTTTTGACAGTTGAATATGATATCAGCTGTGGGCTTGTCATATATGGTCATATATGGTCTTTACTGTGTTGAGGTATGTTCCCTCTATACCCATTTTGTTGAGAGGTTTTATCAATATAATAAATGGACATTGAATTTTGTCAAAAGCTTTTTCTATTGAGATGATCATATGATTTTTATTTTTCAATTTGTTAATGTGGTGTATCACATTGATTGATTTGCAAATATTGAACCATACTTGCACCCCTGGGTTAAATCCCAGTTGATCATGGTGAATGACCCTTTTAATGTATTATTGAATTTGGTTTGCTAATATTTTGTTGAGGATTTGTGCACCTGTGTTCATCGGTGATATTGGCCTGAAATTTTCTTCTTTTGTTGTGCTTTTGTCTGGTTTTGGTATACAGGTGATGCTGGCTTTATTGTGTTATGTCAATTTCGCCCTTTATGTTTGTTAATACTTGCTGTACGTATTTAGGTGATCCCTAGGTTGGGTGCATATATATTTACAATTGTATATACTGATCCCTTTATCATTATGTAATGTCTTTGTCACTTATTATAGTCTTTGTTTGAAAGTCTATTTTGTCTAAGTATTGCTACCCCAGCTTTCATTTTGTTTCCATTTGCATGGATACCTTTTTCCATCCCCCCCACTTTCAGTATGTGTGTTTCTGTACATCTCAAGCAAGTTTCTTGTAGGCAGCATACATATGGGTGTTGTTTTTGTATCCATTCAGTCACTCTGTGTTTTGATTGGAGCATTTGGTCCATTTACATTTAAAGTAATTATTGATATGTATGTACTTATTACCATTTTGTTAACTGTTTTCTGTTTGTTTTGTATTCCTTTTTTCTTCTTATGTTCTTTTCCCTTGTGATCTGATGACTGTCTTTAGTGTTATGTTTGGATTCCTCTTTCTTTTTTTGTGTGTATCTACTATATGTTGGTTTGTGGTTACCATGTGTTTTATATACAAGAAAAATTTTTTAAGTTGATCTCTTAAATTCAAATGCATTAAGAAAAACCCTGCATGTTTACTCTCCGCCCCCCCCCCCAAGTTTAATGTTTTTGACTTCATATTTTACATCTTTTTGTTTTGTGTATATCTTAACTACTTAATGTGGCTGTAGATGATTTTACTACTTTTGTCTTTTAATTTTTATTTTAACCTTTAAACTTTAAAAGTGGCTCATCTACTACATTTACCATATATTTGCCTTTACCAATGAGATTTTTCCTTTTGTAATTTTCATATTTCATATTTCTAGTTGTAGTCTTTTCTTGTCCACTTAGAGAAGTCCCTTTAACATTTCTTGTAAAGCCAATTTAGTGGTGCTGGACTCTCAGCTTTTGCTTGCCTGTAAAACTCTTATCTCTCCTTCATCTGAATGATAGCCTTGCCAAGTATTCTTGGCTGTAGGTTTTTTCCTTTCATCACTCTAATTATATCATGTCACTCCCTTCTGACCTGCAGAGTTTCTACTGAAACTTTCTACTGAAAGTCAGTGATAGTCTTATGGGAGTTCCCTTGTATGTAACTGGTTGCTTTTCCCTTACTGCTTTTAAGATTCTCTTTTGATCTTTAAGTTTTGCAATTTTAATTACAGTGTGTCTTGGTGCATTCCTTTTGGGATTGATCTTGTTTGGAATTCTTTGTGCTTCCTGGACCTGGATGCCTGTTTCCATTCCCAGGATAGGAAAGTTTTCAGCTTTTATCTTTTCAAATAAATTCTCTGCCCCTTTCTCTCTCTCTTTTGCTTCTGGGACCCCTGTAATGTGAATGTTAGTATGCTTGATGGTGTCATAGCAGTCTCTTAAACTATTCTCATTTAGAACAATTTCTTCTTCTTTTTTCTGCTTCGCTTGGGTAATTTCGACTACTCTGTCTTCCAGTTCACTGATTTGTTCTCCTGTATCATCTAATCTGTTGATTCCTTCTAGTGTAATTTTTCAGTCATTGTACTCTTCAGCTCTGTTTGGTTCTTCTTGTTTATATTTTCTAAGTCTTTGTAAAACTTCTCACTGTGTACATCTTTTCTTCTCCCAGGTTTGTTGAACATCTTTATGATTATTATCCTGAACTCTTTATTGGGTAGATTGCTTATCTTCACTTTGCTTAGTTCTTCTGGGATTTTATCTGGTTCGTTTGTTTGCAACATATTCCTGTGTTGCCTCATTTCACCTGATTCTCTGTGTTTATTTGTAGGTATTGCATAGATTGGTTACATTTCCTGATCTTGGAGAAGTGGGTTTATGCAGGAGATGTCCTATGGGGTCCAGCAGCACACACCCTTCTGGTCCCTTGAGCTATGTGCTCTAGGAGCACCCCCTGTGTGCCCTTCTGATGTGGTGGAGCCAACTACTATGGACACACTGGTAAGTGAGGCTGGTCCCTGGCCCAGTTGGCTGCCAACCCTGCCTGGTTTGGAGCCTGCCAGCTGCGGGTGGATGGGGCCAGGTCTTGGGGTGGCTGGCTGTGCGGCCTGGGGGTGTCTCAGTGCTGGTGCCAGCTGTCTGGTGGGTAGGGAATCCCCTGGCACTAAGGCTAGAGGGAGGGCTCCAAAGTGGCACTTGCCAGCACCAAGGTCCTTGTGGTGGAGTGACCTCCCCGAAATGTCTGCCTCCAGCATCTGTGTCCCCACGGGGAGTCCCAGCTGCCTCCTCTTTCTCCAGGAAGCTCTCCAAGATCAGCAAGTGGGTCTGACCTAGGCATCTTTCAAATAACTGCCTCCATACTGGGTCTCGGAGCATGTGAGTTTTTAGCCTTTTAAGAGTGGAGTCTCTGCTCCTTACAGCTCTCCAACTCTCCCACACGCAAGCCTTCAAAGCTAGATGTTCTGGGGGCTCCTCTTCCTGATGAAGGGCCTCAGCTTGTCCTGGATATTCAACTTCTGCAGTTACAGTCACTCCTGGTGCTACCAGTCCCCCAGCACACTGCTGCCTCGTGACAAGTTGAGGATCTTGGGCGTGAGGGGCAGGCTGTCTACCCCCAGCCCCTGGCCACTGCACCTAGCCCCCACTCATCACCCACTGACCCACTCATTGCTCCGAAGCTGGTCCAGGCCTTTCTGCCCTGTTTTAAATGAATTGAATATTCTCTGGAATTCCATTTTACCTTCTCTAGCTATTCCTATTTGAGGAATTTTTTTAGTGGTGTTTTAAAGATTACAATATACATCTTTGACTTACCATAGTTTATTTTATTTTATTTTTTTGCGGTACACGGGCCTCTCACTGTTGTGGCCTCTCCCATTGCGGAGCACAGGCTCTGGACACGCAGGCCCAGCGGCCATGGCTCACGGGCCCAGCCGCTCCGCGGCATGTGGGATCTTCCCGGACCGGGGCATGAACCCGTGTCCCCTGCATCGGCAGGCGGACTCTCAACCACTGCACCACCAGGGAAGCCCTACCATAGTTTATTTTTAAATAGTATTATACTACTTTGTGAGCAGTATAAGAACCTTACAACAATATGGTTCTATTTATCTCCTCTTCCTTTGTGCTCTGTCGTGTGTTTTACTTCTACATACGCTATAAACACCACAAAACATTGTTATTGTTTTTGCTTTAAGTAGCCCATAGTCTCTTAAAGCAGTTTAGATATAAGTGTATGTCTATCTCTTAAACATAATGAAATCGGTCTTTTTTTATTTACCCACATACTTTTCTTGTGTTCTTCATTCCTTCCTTCAGCTCTAAATTTCCATTCCACATCATTTCTCTTTAGCCTGAGTAACTCTTTTAGCATTTCTTGTAGTGCGGCTCTTCTGGAGATGAAATTGCTTCACTTTGGTCAATCTGAAAATGTCTTTATTTTACGTTTGCTTTTGCAGGATATATTTTGCTGCATGTAGAATTCTAGGTTGTCTTTTTCTTCTTCAAGTGCTTAAAGTTGTCTTTTCACTGTCTCTGGTCCACCTTGTTTCTAATAAGAAGTCAGCAATCATTCTTATTGTTGTTTCCTTGTATGTAATATATAATGGCTGCTGTTGAGATTTCCTCTTTATCTTGGTTTTCGGCAGTTTGAGTCTGATGTGCCTAGGTGTGTGGTGTTGTGTGTGTGTGTGTGTGTGTGTGTGTGTGTGTGCGCGCGCATGCACACACATGCTCAGAGTTTGCTAATCGAAACCTTTAAAAAATTTTGGAAAAGTCTCAGCCATTATCTCTTCAATGGTTTCTTCGGCCCCATTCTCTCTCCTTTTCCTGTCATACTCTAATTATTACATCTGTGTGTCTCACAGATCTCAGATACTTTATTGTATTTTCTCTCATTTTTATTTTTTCATTTCAGTTTATATAATTTCTTTAACTTTATAGATCTTTTTCTTCCTTGGTGTCCAGGCTGCTTCTGATTCCGTCAAATAAATTCTTCACTTATAATAGCATATTTTTCATTTCTAGCACTTCCACATGATCCGTTTTTATCATTTCCATCTCTCTGCTGACATTCCCCATATGTTTGTGAAAGTTCTCCGGCTTTTCTAGTAGGTCCTCTAACACATTTTTCTAGTTATTTTAAAGTCCCTCTCTCATAATTCCGATATCTGATTCATCTCCCAGTCTGCTTCTTTCCTCCCATGATCATGGGGTCCATTTCCCTGCTTCTTTGTGTGTCTCATAGTCTTCAGCGTACATTGGACATAGTGTATAAAAGAGCGTCAGTGGCTGAAATACATAATATTTCCTCCAGAAAATCGCTCATCCCTGATTCTATCAGGAGGCTAAGAATCCCTGGCCCTGTAGAAGCGCCAAATAAGCACCAGTGAGACATCAGATGTTTCTTTGTTAATCTACAGCTTTCTGAACCATGAGTGATTTCTCTCTCTGCTTAACAGTCTGAATTCTAGCTTTTCAAGTCACTGGAAGTATCTCTTTGTCCTTCAGTTCCATCCCTACCTTTATGTACCCAAGGAGATCTCCCTATGCTCTACTGTCCTGCTTTCAGTCTGGCAGTTACTGCTTTGCACTCAGTAAAAGCCCAAGTGCTGCAGAGAGATTTCTCATCTCCTCTTTCCGCCTTGCTACTTCTCTGCAATGGGCCACTGTCTCAACTCGGAAGAGGTCTGAGCACCTTCTACGGGATCTCTCTAAGCTCTTTTGCTCTCCTTTCAGCCTTCAGCATACTATCTATGTGCCCTTGATGAAGGCCTGTGGGAAATAGTGGCAGGTAGGTGATACTCTTTCCGTGGCCGGGTTCCTTGGGATTCTAATGCATCATGGAAGCTCACATGCGGTCTTTATAAATTCATTAAAATATGGCTGGTTTCTCTTTATCACCTACTATGAAGTATTCTGTCCTCTTGCAGTTGCTCTGCTAGAATGAAAACACCTATAGGTCTCTACTCTTAAAGAAAGGCCTCTTTACTTTCTAGATTTTCATTTGGTTAGATTTAGTTCTGTCCTCAGATCTCTGGTGGGTTTAAAAAATTATGATTTTGTAGCTTATCTGGTTTGTTGTTATTGTTAGGGTGGTAGCAACTACCCTTGTGACTTGAACTGAGAAGGCCTCGGCTTTTAATGGCCTCTAATGAATAGGAGACAAAGTCTGGATCCAAAGAAGGGTGGGAAGTAGAATCCAAGATTCTAGCATAAGCCAGAACTCTAAGAAGGGTTGATGTAGAAAGTAATGTTTCAAAGGGAGGTTTGTCTGTTTGCATGTGGCTCTAGGATAAGCAGGGAAAGAAAGATCAAAAGAGAAAGAAAGAGGGAAAGAAGGAAAGAACGAAGGAAAGAAGGAAGGAAGGAAGGAAAGGAAGGAAGGAAGGAAGGAAGGAAGAAAGGAAGAAGGAAGGAAGGAAGAAAAAGAAAGAAAGGAAGGAAGGAAGGAAGGAAGGAAGGAAGAAAGAAAAGAAAGTAAGCTCACACTCGTGCTGATTTGGAGACATAATTCATGCTACCTACATGGTCTGAATACCAGATGCCTGGCACTAGTGGGTCAAATCTTCCCTGTGTAATTCATGTGAAACATTGATTTCAGCTCTTCCTATGCCTAGGATAGTCATGACCTACGGTCCTGAAGTACACAGCTGTTCCAAATCACTCGATGCTGGACATCCTATCTGATGTTTTTGCCGTTCATGCATCAACTGGGCCCTCTCATCATTTTACAAAGGAAGGGACTCAAGTGTGTCAGTACAGGAGAGAAAGTAAAGAAGATCTGCACACCATGGTTCCTTAAGATTGAGGGCAGGCTGCACGCTGATATAAGCTACGCTGCCAGTTTCATGGGTGTCATGAACATGGACAAGAGTGGTGGGAATTTCCATCTGATCTGTGACCCAAGTTGTTCATCAGGTTGTGCCCGAGGAGGCCAAGTATAAGTTCTGTGAAGTGAGGAAGATCTTTGTGGGCACCATCCAGATGGACATCTTCTGGATTGATTTGGACCTTGGCCAAATCAATTAGCCATTTCATCAAGTTCTGCTAACCCATGTACATTGATGGGGAGTGCTAACCTGGGACAGATTGATGGTATCACCAACACACACACATACACACACACACACACACACACACACACACACACACAGAAAGAGAGAGAACCTGACTCTTGACCTGAGTCATGTGTAGGAAGCCAATGGCAATAGCTTTGCCACCAGGCTTTCCCAACATATTCATCATTGGAGAAAACAGCAAACAATGCATTTCCCTGCACCAAAGAAAGAGTACTTGCCTCAGTATTGCTGAAGACAGAGACAAAGACAACAGAGCAATGGGTGGGATGATTTCCAGAGGAGAGAAGTAGAGAGCTTCTTTGGCTAATTAAAGATGTATTAGCATGGAGGAGAAAACAGAAACAAAACGTTATTTTCAGAGAATTACCACCAAAGGAGCATGCACTCACAATTAAAAAAAAAAAATTACTAAAACACATGAAGAAACAAGCCCAAATAAACAAAAGTCAGCAGAAAAAAATATAAGAAACTAAAGTGTCAGACTCCCAAGATTGATATTGGAATTATTAGACTACACAGCAAGAACGTTTAACCTATCTAAGTTTTAGCTGCATGAATGAAAATGAGAATCTTAAAATCATAGCGCTGAATGAAAATAAAAGCAAGTCCCAAATCAGTAAAATGGGTAAATGAATTTTAATCCATTTATACCACACAATATCATAGAGCAGTTTTAAAAAATGCACTAGAAATATGCATATCAAGATGGGGGAATCTCAGAAATAGATGAGTGAGAAAAACGTTAAAAAATACATATGAATTCTTTATATAAGTTTCAAGACCTGTAAAAATTAAATATTATATTATTTAGGGATACGTAATAAAACTTTTTTAAAGTAGCTAGTAATTTATAATTCAGAATGCTGGTTTCGTATGGATGAAAAGGAGAGGGAGAAGCTCAGAGAGGGGGCATGGTGGGCTTAAAAGATTTATTAGGTTGTGTTTTATTTCTTAAGCCAGGAGGTTTAACCTAGAGGTATTTGTTTTTAGTAACATCACTTAAGTATATGAGTACCGTTTATTCATTATTTTGTATGAATGAATTATTTTTTTAAAAGCTCAAATAAATCTTGTGTTAAGGTCAGTGGCCTAAATCCTTGCTAGGAAGACCTCACTGAATAAAAAAACCATTCTCTTTCTTGGAAGACAAAATATCAAATAGGTCCATCTAGTGGTGAAATAGAGAATCTCAAATACAGGAATACTCCAGCTGAAGGAATACCCTGGGATGTAAGGCGTTTACTCAAAAATAGCCCATTCAGTGAACATTGGGGTGCATGTATCTTTTTTTTGACCACACCGCGCGGCATGCGGGAACTTAGTTCCCCGACCAGGGATCAAACCTGCACCCCCTGCGTTGGAAGCACGGAATCTTAACCACTGCACCACCAGGGAAGTCCCTGTATCTTTTCGAATTACGTTTTTTACCAGATATTAAAAAAAAAATAGCCCAGGGCTTCCCTGGTGGCGCACTGGTTGAGAGTCTGCCTGCCGATGCAGGGGGCACGGGTTCGTGCCCCGGTCGGGGAAGATCCCACACGCTGTGGAGCGGCTGGACCCGTGAGCCATGGCTGCTGAGCCTGCGCGTCCGGAGCCTGTGCTCCGCAACGGGAGAGGCCACAACAGTGAGAGGCCCTCGTACTGCAAAAAAAAAAAAAAAAAAAAAAAATAGCCCATTCAAAAACCACGTACACAAGTAGAAAAAAAAATCTTGATTGATTGAGTGAAGAACTCTTTGTCTTCAGACGCATGGTAAAATTCTTTGGTTTGTCTCTAACTGGTTGAAAGACTAAAACTCAACCTCAGGTAATTTGTGAGACCCCAGCCTCCTTTATCTGGATCACTTTTGCCCCTTGTTGGCAGGTTTCCCCCCTCACTTCAGGTGCTGCGGTGCTTTCCTCCAGACCTCCCGTTAGTAACTGCATCTTCCCTGCCCGAGCATTGGATGACTCCTTCCTACCCCGTTCTTCACCTGAGCTCAGTGCTGCTCTCACCTCTGCTTTAGAGCCATGGCGTATACTCAGGCAGCTATTCAAGATTTAGGTCCCTCTATACATACGAACATATCGTTAAATGAAATTGGGCAGGGGATGGAACTGCACGTAGCATGTGTTCCCATTCATAGTTTTTAAAAGGATGTATATGTTGTCACGTATATAGACTATCTGGGGAAGGACATACAAGAAACTGATAAACCTTTAGGGAAGGGCACTCTGGGGAAATTAAGTGAGAAAGAAACTTACATTTGGTTTTTTACTATTTATTGATGCTGATTGAGTTTTGTTACAATGTGCATGTATGACTTCATACAAATTTTAAAGAGAAAATAGTGTGTTCTATATATGTAGGTGCTATCACACTGATAAATAAGCTTCCTACAGATAAACAGCATTGATGCTTTCTAATGGATGTTATATCTTAGTGGCTATAAATCAACGCTGTGGTATAAGGCAGCCTTAGATTGTCAGGGGAATGGTCTTGCCTGGATTGAAAGAATCTCTCTTGCATGTCTTTGGATATATTCATTGCCCTTAATACTTAGCTGCACCTTTAGCTTTAAATGGTTTATCTGACAACTGACATGTTTTTCCAATTAGGTTGAAAAAAATCAGTTTAGGCGATTTATTGACATTGGAGCCTTGATACTTTATAAATTGCCTGAAATCTAACAGCATTTCTGACCTGCACTTGACCTTTGCAGGATCTACTTCTGACTCTAATTGGAAGAAACACTGTAATTCCTTTTGTATAGCAAACTCCCAAATGAACATGCAATCAAGTGTCACTTCAGCAAAAGCATGAGTGTTTCCTGAGCAGATCTTTTGTAGTGGATGGCATGCTTGTTTCCTCAGCATTTCTTCTCCCTTCCCATTGTGTGGCAGCAGTGAGCTTTGAGGAAGTGAGCTGAGCTCCATTGATGGGCTCTGGTCAGGAAGCCAGGGATTACTTCAAGGACCTAGCCCTACCATTGTGTGAGGGGATGTAAACTGGCCCCCAAAGGCTGAAGATAAAGACTTTCCATTTGTTGTCTTAGGGAGAGGCAATTTCTCTCATCTGCTGGATGTAAATAAAGAAGTCAGCGGGCCTTACTGTAACCAGCAGCTGTCCTACAACCCAGAGGGGAACCAGTCACCAGTTGTAGAATGATACAAACCCTGTGGTTACAGAGCAAAGAGATAGAAAGAACCTATGTTCTTGATGACACAAGTGAGTTGCTCAAACAACCAACCCTGGAGGCTGACCCATCTCTGGACTTTGTGTATATGCCAGCTGGTCAATTTTTTAGTGTTTGAGTCAAATGCTCTTGGTTGTTTTTTCTATTTCTTCCAACTGGAAGCATCGTGGAGCATATTTCAATAGAACAGTAAGAAAAACCCTCAATATATAAATTACACAATGTCTAAGCTAGATCTTGAATACCCTTCTCCAGATGAATTTCTTGAATATTTTAATTATAGAAGTGTAAATATATTTTAGAGTATGGATATTCATAAGAAGGATTGGATTTTACGTTCTCGTATTAGTATGGTAGAGTGTCTTTATCTGTTCAGGCTGCTAGAACAGAATACCATAGACTGTGTGGCTTAAGCAACAAACATGTATTTCTCATGGTTCTGGAGGCTGGAAGTCCAACTTGTCAGCATGGTCAAGTTCTTGGTGAGAGCCTTCTTCCTGGTTTACAATGGCCACCTTTTTGCTGTATCCTCTCATGGCAGAGAGAGAGAGATAATCTCTCTCATGTTTCTTTTTACAAGAGCACTAATCTCATTCATGAGAGCTCCATCCTCATGACCTAATTACTTCCCAAAGGCCCTACCTCCAAATATCATCACAGTGGGGATTAGGGCTTCAACATATGAATTTGGGAAAGACAAACTTTCAGTGCATAGAATAGAGTATAACATGAATAGTATTAAACACTAATCTAGATAAATCTTCTATTGTTAGAGACAGAGAAAGACCCCTAGATTAACCATTAAGCAAATAAGCACATGTTCAGATGTTTTAGTTCATTTGTGCTGTTATGACAAAAATACCATAAAGTGGTTGGCTTATAAACAACAAACATTTATTTCTCACAGTTCTGGAGACTGGGAAGTCCAGGATCAAGGCTCCGGCAGATTCATTGTCTGGTGAGACAGACATGGAAGACATTCACTTCCTGGTTTGTAGATGGCCATCTTTTTTTGCTGTATCCTCACACAGAGAAAGAGGTAAGGGATCTCTCTGGGGCCTTTTATATAAGGACACTAATTCCATTCATGAGGGCTCCACCCTCATGACTTAATCACCTCCCCCCAAATCACTCCTTTTAATATCATCACATTAGGGTTTAACATATGAATTTGGGAGGGGGCACAAATATCCAGTCTATAGCATTAGGGCACTAGAGAAAGAGGGGCATCACAGGGCTCTTTCAAATTTTAATAAAATCAATCTTATATCAGGTTTCATTATGTCCTGATCCTTAATTTAGAAACTAACACTGTGACTCAGAAGCTACATATAAGTTCGTTGGCTTTTTACTTAACGTATCTATCTACTCTGCTGATTGTAGACTGTAAACTCCTAATTCAATTCCTTTCATGGTTTTAGATACATTGAAATTTTCCATTTTTCCTTAAGTCAGTTTTAGTCAGTAACATTTGTGTTTGCAGGAAATTGTCTGTGTTTTCTAACTTAATGGCGGAAAGTTGTCCACAGTATTTTTTTATTTTAAAAATCCCTGGTGTACTTGTTATATCCTTTTTTATTCCAACAATTTTCTACTTTCTCCCTGACTTTTTCTTTACCAGTCATGATGTCAGGGATTTTATTTTCTCTCACTTTACTAGTCTTACTAAGCAACCATCTTTTTTTTTTTTAATTTATAAATTTATTTATTTATTTAATTTATTTATTTTCGTTGCTGCATGTGGGCTTTCTCTAGCTGTGCTGAGCTGGGGCTACTCTTCGTTGTGGTGCGCGGGCTTCTCATTGAGGTGGCTTCTCTTGTTGCGGAGCACAGGCTCTAGGCACGCAGGCTTCAGTAGCTGTGGGACACAAACTCAGTAGTTGTGGTGCATGGGCTTCGTTGCTCTGTGGCATGTGGGATCTTCCCGGACCAGGGCTCAAACCCATGTACCCTGCATTGGGAGGCAGATTCTTAACCACTGTGCCACTAGGGAAGTCCCACTAAGCAACCATCTTGATGATGGTAAATAATCAAAAAAAAAAAAAGAGAACAAAAAGGAGAGAAAAGAAAGTAAGGAAAAGGGACTATTCATTCCATATATTAGAATGCATTTTAAATCTAGCACTGATATAAAAATAGAAATTTCAAATAGTATGGCAAAGTGGAAAATCTATAAATATGTGAAATTATGCATAAAACTTTAATATATAATGGTATCATAAATGAGATTAATATATGTGTATATATATTTGTGTGTGTGTAAGTATATGCATATAATATATACACTTTGTAAACCTCATCAGTAAAGTACATGAACAGTCCAATTACACAAGAGGAAAATCAACTAATAAACATTTTTAAATCTAATATTGGTAATCATAGTAACACAAATCTAAACAGCAATAAAATACCAATTACATCTATAAATAAGAAAAAGATAAAAAAGCAAGTGTAATATTTATTTAGGTGTGTCTCCAAGATAATTTTTTTTTTTTTTTTTTGCGGTACGCGGGCCTCTCACTGTTGTGGCCTCTCCCGTTGCGGAGCACAGGCTCCAGACGCGCAGGCTCAGTGGCCATGGCTCACGGGCCTAGCTGCTCCGCGGCATGTGGGATCTTCCCGGACCGGGGCACGAACCCGTGTCCCCTGCATCGGCAGGCGGACTCTCAACCACTGCACCACCAGGGAAGCCCAAATCATAATTTTTAAGCTCAACATTTTTAAGAATTAATCTTTAATTCATTGTGAATCCCTGTTTGACAATATGCATTAAAAATCCATAGAAATTCATATCCTTTGTTCTAATGAAGCATATCATAAGGATTTATCTTAAAATAATTCAAAATGTAAGACTATATTCATGATGATGTTTACCATAGCGTTAAATTATAAAGTTGAAATTGGAAAAAACTTAAAATGTTCAATGATAAATGCAGTGATTAAGAAAAGCATCATCTATAAACTGGGTTAAACATGATGTGCTTCTTAAAAATTAAAAAAGTAAAGTTTGGTGTGTGTGTATCACCATTTATTGAGCACTGGCTATGAAGCAGATACTTTATATAAACTTATTTCCAAAGCTCATATTCACTCTGCAAGTTAAGTATTTTTCATTCTCAGTTTAAAGAATCTGGGTCCAGTTGCTCTGTGAGATTAAGTCACTTATTCAAGGCAGCATAGCTAGTGAGTGATGGAGCTGGGCCTTGATCCCATGCCAGTACAGTGCCTGCCACACCCAGGGCCTGGTCAAAGGGGACAGGCCCGGCTCACAATTCCTGCTGAGGGAACAGCCTTTGGTAGCACATTCTGTACCATGTGGTTTCTGCATCTTTAGCCCACCCATCCCTCCTACCACCACCGAGGCTGGGGCCTCACCTAAGGGCAGCCAATCCAGAGTCAGGCTAGTAGCTCATGATATGGTCGGTCATGGAATGCTCTGCTAGAGAGGAGATGAATTATCTAAATTCTCACTCTTACTGGTTTAATTTTAGAAATAGGGAGCAAATCAGGCAGTTGTTGGGAAAAGAGGCTGGGAGAATGTGAGACAAGCCAGAGGGCTTTTAATAATACTCTCAAGAACACTGCTAACTAGGTGAGACAGAACTAGACTGCTAGATCACCCATGCCAGAAAGACTGAGGTGGGTTTAACTCAGGCAGAAAAAAAGTAATCAATATATGAAGTAAAGGGAAGTAGTTGTCGACCACACTGAATTCTGCCAACAGTGCCTGTATCTGCATAATCATATTCATTACATACTCTAGTCCCTTCATGGTCTTGTCACTTCTGCAGGCTCACGTCTTAACTCCACGTAAGCCAAACGGTTCATGTGTCTAGGGGTGTACTGTGCTGGTGATCAGTGTGTCTAGGGGTGTACTGTGCTGGTGATCAGTGTTGCCTTTCAGCTCCAGATTCACCCTTTCGCCTGAATGAATAAGTACATCATGCTGTCCCCTCCCTGGAAAGTATTTTCACTTGTCTAGCTTATTCCCTTGCATCCTACAAGACTTGGCTCAAGAGAAAGTACCTCTAAGGAGCTTCCCGTGATCTTCTCCATCAAACGGAATCCACATAAGCACGATTCCATGGAGACCCTCTTGGCTATATAACAGCTTCATATCAGGAGAAGTTAATCTGAGTAATGATCAGATATAAAATGAGCAGAAAACAGAAGAGAGGAGTAGGTAGCAGATGTTACAAGGACTAACAGGAACCAACCTAATACCAATCCCTAAATGTGCTAGAGGAAAGTGCTCCCTCAAGAAAGGGAGGCACTAGCAGGTGCAAACTAGTATATATAGAACGGATAAACAACAAGGTCCTACTGTATATACAGCACAGGGAACTATACTCAATATCCTGGGATAAACCGTAATGGAAAAGAATATAAAAAAGAATGTATATATATGTATAACGGAATCACTTTGCTGTACAGCAGAAATTAACACAACATTGGAAATTGACCATACCTCAGTTTAAAAAATAAATTAAAAAAAAAAAAAGGGACCTCCTTGGTGGCGCAGTGGTTAAGAATCTGCCTGCCAATGCAGGGGATGTGGGTTCGAGCCCTGGTCCAGGAAGATCCCAGGTGCCGTGGGGCAACTAAGCCCGTGTGCCACAACTACTGAGCCTGCACTCTAGAGCCCGTGAGCCACAACTACTGAGCCCACGTGGCACAACTACTGAGGCCCGTGCGCCTAGAGCCTGTGCTCTGCAACGAGAGAAGCCACCACAATGGGAAGCCCACGCACCACAGCGAGGAGAAGCCCCCGCTCACCGCAACTAGAGAAAGCCCACGCACAGCAACGAAGACCCAACGCAGCCAAAAACAAACAAACAAATAAATAAATAAGGGAGGCAGACACTTGGGTTAGAATCAGTCACATATCCTTATCTTACCTCCTGAGTTAAAGTAGATATATTTTAAGATATCTACATACATACATGTGTATGTGTATATATATTATTATACATATATATATGTGTATGTAATTGAAAGTTTGAAATCAACAGACTTTTTATCCATTCGTAACTGGGACAAAACTGATATGGTTCTAAATTAATGAGAATGACACACTATAATCGCAATTTGTGTTACAAACTGTCTGAGGCAACCATCTGTACTACACAAATAAATTTGCCTCTGAGGCTGCAAGGCAGCACTTTCCCAGAGTCCTACGGAGAATCCAGATGCAGATTTTCCTGGCTTACTGCCTTTGCTTTATCCATTTGGCTAACCAGTTCGTGTGCAAATTTATACGTAAAATTAAAAAGCTGGCTCAGGCCTCGAGAGTGAGGTGCAGAAATAATAACAGCAGTTTGTACTTATGTAAGTAGAATATTTATCCTAAGTGATCAGATCATATCAAAATGTCTCTCATTCATTTACAGCCATTTATTCAAAGCAGAGAAAGTATAAATAAATATTTCAAAAGCATGATTTGGTGAGAAGTATACCCAGCAGTCTACATTGGTTTAAACCAGACATGGGTGTTGTGATTTGTATGTCCCTTAGGGAATGTTTCTTTAAATTCAGAAATGTTGCTTTTTACCAACTGATTGAGATCCCATAAAGTTGTATTTCTTCATCAATTGTGCCTAAGAGCTACGAAACACTAAGCTCAGAGCTAGAAATAAGCCAAACCGTAAGACTCAAACTTTGTAATCCAAGAAATTTACAGCTTAATTATTCTCCCCCCACCCAGCTTTATTGAGATATAATTGACATATAGTATGGTATAAGTTTAAGGTGCACAATGCGATGATACATGTATATATTGCAAAATGTTTACCACAGTAAGGTTAGTTAGCACATCCTTCACTTCACATAATTACCATTGTTGTTATTGTGAGAACATTTAAAATCTAACCTTATAGCAACTTTCAAGTGTACGATACAATGTTGTTAACTATAGTCACCATACTGTACATTAGCCGCCCCCCCGCAAACTTATTCCTCTTATAATTTGAAGTTTGTACCCTTTGGCCAACATCTCCTCTTCCCCCATCCCCAGCCCCTGGTAAGCATACTTCTACTCTT